CCTGAAGCAGTTACAGCAGTACAATTGCATTAGTCTCGGTGACATTCAGAAGTTATGCATGCGTAAACAAAAACATAAAAAGTGGGGAGAGAGTTATAAGAAACAAACCAGTAGCTCTTTGTTTCAATGTGGAAAAGAAAGCGGTGCAACGTGTATTCAAGCAATGTCCAGACAAAAATGCCAAAAACAACCATCAGAACTATTTCAGGGAATGTATGGCCCATCCGTACAGACACTGAGATGGAATAGAACACAACTGGCAGCCATATGACAGGAACTGCCCACCACACCGTGCGGGTCAAGAACTAATTCAAGTAGAAAAATGAGTCAGAAGTAGAGCTCTGCAAATTCTCAAGAAAGAAATTTAGCTGCATGTGCACTGTGCTACCATGTGAGCATATGTGAATTAAATTTGTAACGGATTAACTAAAGGGGGAGGCAGTACCTCCCAAAATTCACTTTCAAAAAATCGAGGGCCTTCTTTGCTAACAATCGGCTGGTGAACCCACTCTTGGTATGCTTCTCCAAGATGGCCAACCTGTGAAAGATTGCGAAAAGCCAAAAGTTACACTAAAATTCAATACAATCATCAAATACAATAAAGAGAGACGGGGTCGCAAGAGAGATCACAATGCTCATAGATTTATAAAAAAGGAAAAAGCAATTCTAGAGAAAAATGTGACATGCTATGAACTCTCAGAGAAGGAAAAGGAGGCACCAAATATAAGCGGTAAATGTCCCTGTGCAAAGAGACTGTTTGGCAAATTTCTCAGCATCTATCCAAAAATAAAAGATATATTTGGAGAAATAAATTGAAAATCATCATTGAAAATCTAGAAAGATGGCACTTCGAATACTTACGAATGAAGAGCCTCGGATCTAAATGGTTATACATATTCAAGTCCATATACGAACAAAGAAAAAACATTAGGCAAGCCTTACCTGAAATACAAGGGCTTTATCCAAATCAACTTTGAAGTCCTGTGCAACCATCTTGTTACGTATAACACTGCTGGAGAAACAGCAAAACTAATACATTAAGTTCAATGATGCGGATCCATAGAGGACAAGAACCAAAAAGATCTAATTACATAGTTGCAATAAGCATTCAGATATTAGAGATAAAAAATTGTAACATGTGATGAGTTAGTATCTGATATTACATCTGATTATAATATCAGTAATTGATCACTGGTTTAATCTTATGGACTAAGTCTCCCTGCCAACGACAATTTAAAGGAAAGTTCTCTTTGACTTCCTTAAACTATTCCGTGAAACCGACTAATACCTGCCTATAGGCCACAAAACTTTCTTTGAAGATTATCAAAAGATAAACTAATCAAGGTGAAGCAGTAATCAGCACCAGAGAAAAAAGATAGCTAAGAATTTATCAAGTAAATGACGACATTTGATAGCTAAGAATTTATCGGACTCATTTGCACTATGATCTAAATCTGGAATTTTCTTCATCAATTTTAACATGCATCCATGAGAAAAAAGATGAATCTTGACAACAAAAACGAAACACAGTATCCATAACATGATGCAGAAACGAAATTTCCACTCAAATGCCTAATTTGAAATTAATCAATTCACAGGAGATCCATTTTTTCTTGCAAAAATGATAATCCAGTTTTCCCTTTTACCTCTACTTTCCCAGCTACCAAACAGATAATGTCGCTCTGCAGAAACGGCCCCACACAATATCACACAAAGTCTCAAGACTCATGCTTTATTCTCAAACCCCATGATTTCTTCCCCTTTTCTTCCATGATTTCTCACCAACCAAACAGCATTTAGCATCATGAAATTCAAAAAATCACACGGTTCGACAAGAAAAAGGAATCCCACAATGCACCTATCGAACCCAAATTCAAAACCCACAATTTTCCAAACCAAAACACCAAACCCAGATCTACAAATCGCACGAAAACCACACAAAAATTAAAAAATCAGACGAGGGAGAGCAATGGGTTACCTACTGAGAACCCGGGTCGGATCCAACGCAAGAGAACGACGGAACACGACCACCCTTTGTTCCTCTCTCTCTCCACAGAATATGAACCACCAGCACCACCACTAGAAGAGGTTTCCGCGTTGAGCGTCAAGTGGTGCGGTGGCAGAGGAATATCTGACTCTCTCTCTCTCTCTCTCTCTCTCTCTCTCTCTCTCTCTCTCCGCGTCTGTGGAAAACAAGTCGTACTGTGGCAGATGATTTTAAGATATGGGACGATTTGGGCCGTCGATTTTTGTATGCGCATAGCCAGCACTCGTCACGTTGGATTCCAAGTTTCTAACGGTGGCCAGTCTCGCAACTTTTCAAGTTCTTTTAACAAATATTTTTACAGCGGAGTGCGGTGGGTTAATTTACCGTGTAGAAGCTGAGACGGTGTCTGTTGTCTGAGTTCGTTTTTCTTTTCAATGACGTAGTTGGGAAAAAAAAAGTCTTGTGGGTCCCCCTATGATAACTTTGTTAAGGAATTTGATTCATTGCGGACATTAGGATTCAGAGTCTAGAGATCAAAATATTAACCACACAAATTAAATTTGACTGTTCTTAATTAACTTATTTTGTCGATTTATTTCACACAAATTAATGATTTTAATTTCTTTTCCATAGAAATCAAAAGTTCAGATTTTTTTTATTTTTACTCCGGACATTAGGGTCCAGAGGGATCTAATTCCCTTTTTTTTTTTTTATTGTTCGAAAATTCCCTTTGTTAATTAGGGGAATTTGGTTGGGCATACATGAAATATTTTTGTAGGAGAACGGCAAATTCATTCCGATCGGTTGCCTCAACTGCCGGTCAGCGTCAACAGTTGGCTAACTTCTAGTAAAGGCACATTGCTCTCGTTTTCTCCCAACTGGGACACATTCTCTTTTGCTCATATGATGAATGTATAGATGGTTTTATGTGTTGTTGATGCCCAACTATCGTAACGTCTTGTGTTAATATTATAGTAATATATATAAGCTTTTATATACAAGACCTTAATGCTATTGATATTTCATAAAACGTAAATTATTCTCACAAAGTTTTAACGATATTTAAAGTGTAAAAATATAATTGTATTTTCCTCTATAATATAAAGGTTTTAAGTTCAATTCACATAGATGAAAAGTTCAGTATATAGTTGTAACAATTTCATTGTATAGTTTAACTCAAATCTCTTAGTTTCGTTTATTCAAGGTTTAAGGGAAAACTTAAATTAATTACATCAAAAAGCCTTCAGACCAGTACAAATATAGTCAAGATAATACATGAAAAATCATAAATTATATATATTGATTACGAAGCTACTTTACCACATATTCTTCTCTCATTTCAAGTAAGTAAACATGTTATAAATCTTTTCTAACATATAAGATATTTTAGTGTCATCGCTACATTATTTGGTCTAGTAATATATAAGGAAAACTAATGAAAATGTCTTAAAAACTTTGAATTTTAACGATAAGGACAAAATAAAGGGTAAAGTGAATAGTAACATGATTGACTTTTTAATGTAAAAATGTGGTTTTTCGTTAAAGTGAACAATACTATAAGTTTTTCGTTAAAGTTTTCTAATATATATCTCCACTAACAAGCTTAATTAAGTAATGTCACTGCAATTCAATTTAGAAAAATTCAAACTATAACGGAACCAAACCATTACGGTCCAGTTTGTTTTGAACCTTTGAAATTTCTTTTGTTAAAAAAAAAAATAGAAAAGCGAAACTGGCCACTACGGTTTGGTCAATTCGGCCAACTGAGGCCCACATTGACATGGTCCTAGTAAGAAAAACATATATAATTTAGCGAAAACAAAGAAAGAATCCAACCAGCCAGCAAGGCTGACTACTGGTTAAATTCTAGGTATATTTATGGAGGGAGTGACCCCAAGTCCCTTGTTTTGAATTCTGAAGGGATGGTTCAAGTGAGACGTCTGCAGTTAAACATACATACACGTACGACCAAGTATTACTTGTTAATTAAGTCATGAATATTAGAGATCAAGTGAGGATTATTTGATGAAATAGAACCATAAATTTGTCTCCAAATTAAAATTAAAATTAAAAATTATTGTTACCTTGAGATTCAGAGACGAACTTTTAGAAGGCTTCCCATGGTGCAGGTACTAATGAGTGAGATCATATGCTGTGTATCCCAACACGCCCCCACCAAACAAAGCAGGAGCAACTGATGGAGGGAATAAAACCCTAAACAGACAGAATCGAGAACGAGCAGAACATGTAGATTGATATATCAGAAGCAGCGTATTATACATACATTTATATATGTGTGTGTGTGTGTGTGTTAAGTTGAGGACCTGATGAGGTAGTGAAAATGTACGTAACATACCAGAAGGCTTAAACAGCGGCAGCTTCAGGAGGAAAAACAAGTCGCATTGCATCCATAGGGTTCATGTGGTGGTATCCATGCAGAAGATAATGCATCGTGTTTCCCCTACAAAAAGTGATTAGAAAAAGCAGTTCACTGCATCCATATCAACTACACGATTTATGAAGGCCCACTGCTAGAAATTTGGCTAACAGCCATCCTTTTTATTGGTGTCTATTGTTAAGTGTGGACACTCACATTGGTGGTAAACCTCAATGACCACTAAGCAGCCACTAAACTAGAGAACATGTCCTATATAGAGGACTCTATTGTAACAATGGCTACCAATATTGCATTGGTGTGTATGTGAACAGTACAACATTTTTATATTTTATAATTATTTCTAAAATTCAAAATATCTCATTGTCCCTCTTATTAGTGGCTAGATTTGAGACTACCATTGGTGCCTTTCATACTCGTACACACACCAATCATATGTGTCTATATTAGGAGCAGTGGCTTTTAAGATATAGGCACCAAAGTTGGTGTGAATCTACAGCATTCCAAATGGCCAATATGTTCAAATTGTATTACATGCATTTTAGTAATAACTCTGTACTATATTAAAACTCAGCTTCTTAATATAAAATTCACATGAAATTTAAATTTGTAAAAGGATTCACATTTCCAACCAACCACACTTTATATCCAATAGATTTATCAATAACAAGGTTTGTGCTACATAAGAAAGCATATTACATTCAACGATGTTGTCCAACACAACCAAGTACCCAAGGGTGACAACGTTACATTTTATAACACCTATGTACCTATGCACATCCACCAACAGCAAACCGATAACTAACAAAATCCACCCAATTGGTTATATGCCTTCCCTATGGCATTTCTAGTATATACATCAAGTAAAATTCACAAAAAGTATCATAGTTAACTTTTCACTTATTGAATTTCAGCTATTCACAACAAATCCTACATAACTTACAAGTTACAACTAAGCCTTTTTCAGAATTCCATCCTCCCACTACAAGCTACAGGCGTCAGACCTAAGTTCATCATGCAATGAAGCTCACTTAACCACATTCCCTTCTTGAGAGTCCCACAATTTTTTCTGAATTGAAAAATAAATCTTTTACAAAACATGGTAAAAATAAAACACAATGAACTAAGAACAATATATTGAAAACAGACCAAGAGCTTACATCTTTGTGAAACATCTGAAGCAAGCATGACAGCATATGTGGAAGACTCGTCTCTGTCAGCTTCCACCTTCATTCCACCTGCAAATGTACAAAAAGTTCACAACACCAAACTACAACCGAGACTGAATTAAACGATTAACTTTGTATTTAGTAGGTCTTAATTCTACGAAGCCGAAATTCCTTACCAATGAGGCGCATCTCAAACAAGAAATCAACATTATCAATTCAAGAAAAAACAATGCAATGATTTCAACGTATTCATCCTTTCAGGAATGCAATCATTAGATACAGATAAATGTGTTGAAATGCCACTACTGCCAATTGATACAATTTTTATAGCATGCACACAAAAATTGTTCAACCAAAACAATCTCTAATTAAAGCATCACATTTTATTAAATTGACGATAAATCAATACATGAGAAGAGAGGCTAATCATAAGGTCAGGAACCTGTGAAAACAAAGGAAAATAACAATAATGAATTTGAATTTACTACAATTTTCTCTAAGACCATGTTTCATATACTCTACTTAAAGATTCAATTCTCATCGTTCTCATCATTAGATGTTTAACCCATTAAAAAAATAAAACTTAAATTAAGAAACAATTGAAGAGATATGATATCAACACCCTTAGCAAGAATAAGGCCAAATCCTTTCCAAGAGAGCAGGGAAACTGCTAACAAGTTAAAAAGAAAAAAAAAATTTCACATACAAAACATTTACGCGTGTTTCTTCCTAACATGATGACGACAACGACTCGAGATTATATGACTACATTACATCTCCTTTGATTAATCCATCATGTGATGATGAAGTACCAAATCATCCAAAAATCCTCGATTCTAGAGCAGGGGATGCTCCTATGGCTGAATTCAAAATAATGCTCCGTTACTCTTCTTTTTTCACGGTAAATAATGCCCAACCACTCTACAGATGAGGCATCTAATTGGCTTAAATGTTTTGTAAAAGAGAGGTCAGCGGGGATAATCTTAGAGCACAAGCATTTCGAATCTAATCAACTCAGTGTGAAGTAGCATCTAATAAAAGCGTGGAAGAACTCTACCAAACAATAGAACATGTAGAAACCCATCATCGAATAAATAAAGGCCTCTGAAATCTAAGCTTTTAGCAACTAGTGGTAACCTAATCTCTATGCTTTTGACGTCATCAGCTTCAGTAGATGCCAATGAATACAAGAGTAAGGTCAAATCCTTTCCAAAAGATATGATATCGAAACATATTTTCAGTGATGTTCAAGGACCAAAACTATCAAACATTAAAAACTAAAAATTAAAGCAGTGTAAAATCTAGTTTAAAAATGCGAAAATACCCAACAATCCCGCCATAACCACAGACACGATCGACTTCATCACCAGCTCTGGCCTCATCACACTCATCGACGCCACTGCTAATCCGCTCTTGGCCATCAAGTACGCCGCTCCCATACTTGAAAAACACACAAAACCCAAACAAAATCATATGTTTCGTAGATATGAAATTGAAGAAATTTGGCTACGAATTTGTAGACACTAACTTGAGGATAGGAAAGAGGATGGGAAGAAGATTATGAAGGTATAATTTGACGGTCTGTTGCCTGTAAAAAAAGGGAGAGAAAGGATGCGGGAAGTAGAGAGAGTGAAGGGGGAAGGAGGAGAAAGAGTGGAGGGGAGAGAGAGGAGAGATATTTGTGAAAGGGGAAAGAGAGGATAACCATTTTAGTTTCGTCCACCTTTAAAACCACAAGAAATTCTTATAATATGGACTCCACTCCATGACTTGTCTCACTCATTTCGGTGGGTATCCAAAAAAAAAAACAAATAACCAGCACCACTTCAGTGCCTACAAAATAAATAATAAAATAAAAATGTAGAAGAAAAGTAATTTTAAGAAATAAAGTTATTTGACAGACGCCAACAATTTTGAAGGCCATCGATATCAGAGGCATCCCACTCTAAAGACACCAAAAAATAGTAAGAGTGAGTGCTTTATATCTATGGCCACCAATTACAAATGGTGTGCAAAAAATGGTGTCCTATGAGCATAATTCTAGTAGTGGTCCTCCTATATGCAAACACTCACAATCACTTCTAGGGTTTTAACTTTTAAGGCCACAATATGTGGGTTATAACTTATAACCTATCCCCTTTTTACTACGTTGCAACGATATCTCCTTATGAAGTTCCTTACTACTTTAATTATAATAATTTTGTAGCTAACTACATTTTGCACCCTTCAAAGCATTTACAATGGGTATGTCAAAATTTTTTGTCAAATTCTTAATTGATGGTTGATGTTGCATTTTAAAGCGGATAATGCTAGGAAGACCAAATTTTTAAACCAAACTTGTAAATTAAATGATGTACGTCATCAATAGAAAATAAACACGTTAATCAATACTTAAGTAATGATCCAATTATTAACATCTACATAATTTGGTTTACAAAATTTCTAAATATAATCTCTCTATAGCACTACCCTTTTAAAGCATGCTGTCAAGTTTTATTATATTCCAACCAGTATGTTAATTATTATTTTATTATCATATAGGACCACGTTAAAATAAAATAAACAGTAAAATCATTTTTAAAACTTTATATCCTAGTGGATGGTGGAACCTATATAAATTAATAATTAAATAAAATAGCAACTGAAGGTAGAAGAGCAACGTCAAAATTGACACTATAAAAAACCAATCCAGGTTACCTAAAAGATTGTTCAGTTGGAGCAATTTTGCAGTTAAAAATGACTTTGGAATTCCAGCTAAGATTTGGCATCCACTTTGGATTTTGGGTGATTTTTAAATGATTTATGAGGTCTCAATTTTCTCATATTATACATTAAGGTTTTAAAATTGTATCAATTTTTTAGTTTTGTCTCTTTGAATGTTTAATTATCCATTAAATTGAAGAGTGTAATTTGTCATTGTGGTGCAAATGTGACTTACAATTAAGTTAGCTCATATAAGGATCTCAAGTTTTCATCATGTCAAAAACCAGACCAAAAGCTTAAATTGCTACAATTTCAATACCTTAAAGTGCGATATGAGAAAATTAAAACTTCGTGGCCTATTTTAAAATTTACCCCAGGTATATTAACTCGTAGTTTTATATCGTATGTGGCGTAAACCATGTCCTGTCTGTTTAGTTTTAATACCCTAAGTTGTGTGGTAATCATTCTTTTTCATTATTCATTTCTTTGAAATGATTCGTTTGGTAATTTAAAAAAAAAAAATCAAAACTACTTCTTGAGTTTTCAAAATTTCTTTCATTTTGAGTTTTTTTTTAACTAAAAACTATTATTAGTTACATAAAAAATAAAAACTGAAAGAAACAAAATAATTATCAAACGACTCTCTAGCAAGCCTTGCCGGCTATATATTGTGTAAGCTTGGTTTTTTGCCATCACCACCAATAATCAATATGATGCATTGATGATCATGGCTACGTTCGGTGTTTTGCAATGGTTCCCAGCCAAGTTGAAGATGAGTTATAAATATATGTTGGGGCCTTTTAATGAAGAATATAAACATATAAGGATCTGTATGATATGCCAACTTCGTACTGTAGTTCAATGATCTAGAATGACCACCTAAATTTTAACTTTTTAAGCATCCATTCAAGCATCATTGTAGTCATCCAAACAAACTATTCATCAGTTGATTATCATGACGAAATTTCGCGCAAGTAATTATAGAAAATTGTAGTTAAAAAACTTCCTTCATAATTTCACATAGGGTGGACGTTTTGCGTCCTACTCTGATTAGCTAATTAATATCGCCGAATTCTCTATTTTAATAAAAATACATATAAGTAGCTTCCTTCATAATTATAATTTCTGAATCAGTGTTCGATTTCGGAAAGAAGTGAACACATGAATCCAGCAACCTATCAAACTTGCAAGTGGCTAGAATTTATTTATACATCTTTAAGAGAGAGAAAATAAGACAAGAGTAACAAATGATACAGCCAGCGAGGCTTACTGATTAATACAGCGAAGAAAATAGACAGCCTGCAAGGCTATACTAGTTACCTGTTTTACTCAGCTGCTTTTGGTAGGGGAAGTAGTGTTCCGAAAACGTTGTCCCAAAATACGGAGAGATTGATGCCAAATCCCTTGCTTTGAGTTGTGAAGTGATGGTTCAAGTGATATTTCTGTCAGGTACGAACACAAGTACATTGTGAAGGCATTGGAATGCAGACAATCCTCTCAAATTGTTTACAGAAAGAGAGGACAAGATAAAAAAATAAAAAAGGCCTCGAAAATTTGCTACCTTCAGAGTTTGAGCTAATCCTTTAGAAGGATCCCCATGGTGCATGTAGGAGTGAGTGACTTCATATGTTACATATCCCAACAAGGTCCCTCCAAACAAAACCGGAGCAAATGATGGAGGCGATAAAAGTTGAAACAGGTTCCAAAACTAGCACATACGTACAGACCATGACATGTAAAAATCCACTTCTACTAAAAATTTCAACAATTATAATACCAAATAGGAACTAGCACAAATTTTATGCACAAAACAGTTTATCAACACTTGATACTTGTGATTCTTTTCGAGTCAATTGCCAAAGTGAATGGATTGTTTGTTTTTCTGTTAAAAATTAATGGTGTATTTCTCTGAGATGAACATTTCCTTTTCGGAGAAAAATTTAGTTCCGAAATTCGGACCTGTTATAATAGAGAGTAGTGGTTGAGGTAGTGAAATGGGACATACCAGCAGACAAACAATAGCTACCGCTGCAGCGGGGGTTTTTGTCTCATTGAATCCATAGGGTGCTTGTGATGGCAGCCATGAACAAGATAGTGTATGGTGTTTACCCTGAAAAAAAAAGTGATGAAAAATTTGATGGTACCAATATATACAGCAAAGAGGGAGAGAGAGTTGGGAGAATTGAAGGATATAGAACCAACCAATAGCTTGTTGTTCTTGTGTGCATAAGGAAGCGATGAAAACGTACTCGACCAGTGTCCAAATAAAGATTCCACCGACCACTGTTAGAGCAAGATGAGGAGCAGTAAGTCCCGCTTGAAGAGAAACGGAAACAGCCCAGTAAACTACTGGCAGCCAAACAAGCGGAACAATCCACCACGGCGTGTGGCTCAAGAACTGTTTCAGGTTTTATTGAGTCAGACGAACACCACATTAATTCATATCCAGGAAATGTTTACCAATATTTAAATTCTAAACCTGAAAACTAATGGAACTAAGAAGAAAATTACATTTTGTAACAGGTATGTGGAATCTGTTCCAGAATTTGTTTTCCTCTTCAACTTGTTTCAGCTTTAGGTTTTGATGCTCTTTAGTTCCAACACAACAGTAAATTTCATCCAATATTGGAAACCCTTTTGAATGCAAGATCTTAACAACACCTCTATAGTGTCATTGTGGAAACATCTGGGGCTTCCTTTGCTAAGAATAGGTTGGTAAACCCATTCCTCATAAGCTTCCCCGAGATAGCCAACCTGTAAAAGTTTCACCATTGTGACAAGTCGAATAAGAAAATTGACCGAAAACACATTGAAATTAATTCAAAACTAACCCTTATGTTGTATATCAAATCTAAGCAAATCTGACCTGGAAGAAGAGGCTTATTCAAGTCCACAGCAAAAGATTTATTTGCCATCTGAAGTTGCAATAAAACTCATTCAGAAACAGAAGTAGATATATAAAAAATGTAGCAAATTGATCAATGGAAGTTCACCCTGTTACCACAAGGCTTGTACATATATTGTCTGAAATTGATGCATAAAATTTTATCCGGTTACCACAATTTTATCTTGAACGTCAACGATTCGGAAAGAAACAAGATTATTTTTTACAAAGAAAACTGAAATCAAATATCAAGGAAGCAGCAGACATGGATGTAGCCGAGTTGGCTAGAGCGCCTAACTTCATATTCAATAAGAAGATATGAAGCTTAAGGAAGCAATGCACTTGTATAACTTCAGAAACATATTAACAAAAATCCATTAATATGCAGCAAAGCAAAAAGAAACTAAAACCCAGTTCAAAGTTAACCAAACATTATGGTGTCACAAATCCCAGTTCAAACATTGACACGAACAATTTGAAACACAAGTTCACAATATATCTGAGTATACCAAGCAAAAAATGTGAAAAATGAAGGAAAAAAACTGACATTTTTGGGGAAAAGATGGGAACACTGCGAGCTCCTCCTTTCAAGCTCAGGCAAACTCCAAGTCGTAATAGAAAGGTGAGTGAGTGAGAAGAAAACGTGGTCAATTAATAGAGGAATGCTAAGAAATTTTTCAAAAGTGGGACTCTGTATAGACTCTCTGTCACATCATGTTTTTTGCACAATGTTTTATTATATTTGTACAAGAATTAATGTTAAATTGTGAGGTAATAGAGACTAGTTTGTATAAAATATTTGGATCCAATATATTTGAATGAATGTTCTGCTACAATTGCAGCAGAACTTATATACAAGATTATTACAGACGCATGCAATAAACAAAGGACAGAAAGTGGCATCCATGCTGTCCTTGTTGAAGCAGTCAGCAACCACATGTAGTGGCCTTGCTGTCCACGTTAATAGTGCATCCACACATGCTAACCTAGCTGTGAAGGAATGATCATATTCCTTCTGTCCATATTCCTTTTGTCCAGCGTGTGAGTAGAGCACCTTTAACACTCCCCCTCAAGTTGGAGTGTGGATATCAATAACACCCAACTTGCCAAGATGTGAATGGAAGGTAGGTGCTCTCAGTGGCTTTGTAAACATGTCTGCTATTTGACGTCCCGTCTGCACATGAGACGTCTCGATCTCTCCCATCTGAATCCTTTCACGGACAGTATGACAATCCAGCTCTATGTGTTTGGTTCGTTCATGATACACAGGGTTCGCTGCAATATGTAGAGCAACTTGATTGTCACAAAACAACCTTGCCGGCTCAGGATGATTTACACGCAAATCATTCAACAAATTCCTCAGCCAAGTAAGCTCACAAGTGGTTGCAGCCATGGAGCGATACTCGGCTTCTGCTGAAGATCTTGCCACCGTGACTTGCTTTTTACTTTTCCACGATACAAGTGATTTACCAAGGAAGATGCAAAAATCTGTCACTGATCGTCGTGTGATCGGACATCTAGCCCAATCCGCATCACAGTAGCCAATCAAATTAAGTTGGTTCTCCGTAGGAAATAGTAACCCTTGTCCTGGTGCTTCTTTCAGATATTGGAGGAGACGATGTGCTGCTTTAAGGTGATGGAGTGTTGGTTCTTGCATGAACTGACTGAGATTATTCACTGCATACGTAATATCTGGCCTGGTGATGGTAAGGTATATTAATTTTCCAACCAAACGTCGATATCGAGTCGGATCCTTGAGGGCATCACCACCTGTTGTTGTCAACACTAAATCGGGTTCCGTAGGTACCTTGGCAGGTTTTACGCCAAGCAAGCCAGCTTCCTCCAATATGTCCAGAGTATACTTTCGTTGGCAAATGGAGATCCCAGCTTTGGACCGTGCAACTTCGACACCCAGAAAATATTTTAATGGTCCGAGGTCTTTAATTCGAAAAACATCCACTAAGAAATTGCTTGAGTTGACTGATGGCTTCCTCATTATTTCCTGCAATGATCATGTCGTCAACGTAGAGCAATACTACAGTAATGGAGTGTCCACAAACTTTAGTGAATAATGAGTAATCTGCATGAGACTGTTGAAAGCCAACTTCTTGAATGGTTGATGAAAAACGTTGGAACCAACTGCGAGATGCCTGCTTGAGTCCGTATAATGACTTGTGAAGTCGACAAACCATAGTCTCCCCCTGTCGACGATAACCAGGAGGTGGTAACATATATACTTCCTCATGGAGTGCACCGTGAAGGAAAGCGTTTTGGACATCCATTTGGTGAAGAGACCAGCTGCGAACAGCAGCAATGGTCAAGAGACAGCGGACAGTAATAAGCTTAGCAACGGGGGCGAACGTCTCTTTGTAATCAATACCTTCGCGCTGCGTGAACCCTTTGGCGACAAGGCGAGCCTTGTAGCGTTCGATGGTACCGTCGGAATGATACTTGATTTTGAAGACCCATTTACATCCAATGGGGCGTTGGTGGAGGGGTAAAGAAACCAAAGTCCAGGTGTGATTGGCTTCAAGTGCTTCAAGCTCAGAATGCATAGCTGCAAGCCATTGAGGGTCATGGCGTGCCTGCTCATAGGAGGCTGGTTCAACTAAGTGAGAGACATTGTGAACAAAGGAACGATGAGCATGAGAGAGTCGAGCATAAGAAACATACCTGTGAAGAGGATATCGTGTGCCGGACATGGTGGAAGAGATGGCGCTGGACTGAAGCAAAGCAGCATGATGGGTCTGATAGTCACGAAGGTGGGCAGGGGGTTGTTTAATGCGGGCGGATCGACGAAGGGGAATTAGGGGCAACGAAGGAGACGATGGTGCAGGCGGTGGCGAGGTAGGAGTGTCTGGGGTTGGAGGAAGTATGTTAGGAGTAGGGTCGTCAGGAAGGGAGGGAGCGGATGAGGCAGTTGATAAGGTAGGTAGATCAATAGTGGGAATGGGGTCTGAAGGTGCAGGAGTAGGGTCGTCATGGGGAACAGGTAAGACCGGGGTAGGGTGGGCAGGTTCTGGTGGTAAGTTAGCAAGAGGGAAAAGATGTTCATGGAAGATAATATCTCGAGAGGTAAAGATGCGCTTGCTATCAAGGTCGTAAACGCGATAGCCCTTCTGACCAAGGGGATATCTCAGGAAAATGTAGCGACGAGCACGAGCATCAAATTTGTGTGAGGGAGTGAGGTTGGTAGCATAGCATAAACACCCAAAAACTCGGAGATGAGTGTAGACAGGTAGTGTCCCATGCAAAAGTTTATAGGGAGATTGATGGGAAAGCAGAGGTGTTGGGAGGCGGTTGATAAGGTAACAGGCAGTTTGTACACTCTCCCCCCAGAATTTTAAGGGTAGGTTAGCTTGTAATCGTAAGGCTCGGGCAACATTTAAAAGGTGACGGTGTTTGCGTTCAACGACTCCGTTCTGTTGAGGGGTGTGAGCACATGTGTGTTGAAAAAGAGTGCCATGAGTATCTAAGAAGGATCGTAGAGATATGAATTCCCCCCATTGTCTGCACGAAGAATTTTAATGTCACGGTTAAACTGTGTTTTCACCCAAGAAAAGAACGAGTGGATTATGGTTTGTGTGTCAGATTTAAATCGCATGAGATGAACCCATGTGAATCGAGTGAAGTCGTCTACAATGGTGAGGAAGTAACGTGCTCCAGAGGGTGTATGTGTTTGGTGCGGCCCCCAAATATCACAGTGGATCAAATCAAAAGGTGCAATTGATTTTATTGAACTGGAAACAAATGATGAACGAGTTTGCTTTGCTAAGGGACAAATATCACAAACATGTGGAGAATGAAAAATAATTTCTGGAATGGTCTGGGATAAAGAGTGAAGAGGAGCCGAGGATGGGTGCCCAAGACGTTGGTGCCACAGTGTCGAGGTATGGTTGACATGGTTGGCGAGATGAGGGTTTTGTGTTGGAGTGAGGTAGTAGAGGCCATTAAACTGCTTGCCCAAGCCAATCATCTTCTTCGTAGCCATGTCCTGCACAACACAAAAACCCGGGTAGAAAATCACAATACATTTCAATGCCCAAGTTAATTTACTCACAGACAATAGGTTCACACGAAATTGTGGTACATGCAAAACTCTATGAAGGGTGATCTTGGGTGACAGTTTAATAGACCCAATGGATTCAATCGCAGCCTGTCCACCATTTGGTAACCCAACAAAATCATGTTGGGGTCTAGTGTGATTATGGATGGGTGATGAGTGAGAAATATGATATGTGGCTCCGCTATCTACGATCCAACAGGTTGTTGAATGCGGAGAATGTTGTGTAAAGTTGCAGTTGGACGTATAGATACCTGTTGCATGTGCAAGCGGCAGATTGGTACCATTCTTATTGCGAAGGAGGGCCATGAGTTGATGATATTCCTCGGTTGTGAACGTTGGTTGATTGCTGGAGATGGGTACTTTGGTTGCGTCAATCTGAGCAGTTGTCAATGGGAGCGTTTCAACATTGTTGGAGGCTGGAGGTGTATGCCTATTTCTGGGCTGCACATTCTTTCCGTGCCATTTGTGTCCTTCAGGGAAGCCAATAAGAAAAAAAACAACGTTCAACTGGATGTCCTCCGTCACAGTAGCTGCATTTGAAAATCTTTCGTGAACTAGGGTTGTGGGTGCCATAGCCTCATTTTGGTGCTGTTGAACGACTGGATTGCATTGCATGGGCAGTGGGTTCACGACGATTCACCACATTCAATTGGCGTTCGTGTTGGAGAACCAATCCATGGACTCGTCGTGTATCCGGGAGTGGGCTCATCATCAATATAGAGCCTCGTATGGTGGAGTAGTTCTCGTTCAGTCCCATTAAGAATTGCATGACTCTCTCTTTTTCTTCCCTGTCTGCATGCGCCTTGGATCCTTCGCATCCACAAGCAATGGGCTCATGGTATGATGCTAATTCATCCCAAAGAGCTTTTAATTTTGTGTAATAATCTGAAACAGATAGCTGTCCTTGTCGGTGTTCGACAATCTCTTGTCGGATTTGATAGATCCTGGAATCGTTGCCTTGCGAGAATCGATCCTCAAGATCCCTCCATGCTGCTGTCGCAGTTTTGCAGTAGAGTATACTGTGAGCAATGTTGCCTTGTACAGATTGCCAAATCCAAGATAAGACCATGTCGTTGCATCTCTGCCAAATTGAATATTTAGCATCAGTGGTTGCAGGGTTCTTGATTGAACCATCAACAAACCCTAGTTTATTTTTGGCGATGAGAGCAATTCGCATGGAGCGGCGCCATTGTCCATAGTTGTGTCCATCGAGAAGTTGTGAGACTAAAACAAGACTTGGTGAGTCTGAATGATGTAGAATGAGAGGATCAGATACATGAGGTATCATCTGGTCGCCCATGGTGGCTGGGTTTGATGAAGAGAAACTGGTTGTGTTTGTGGCGGAAGCAAAAATGAGCCTTCCAGAGTCACCAAGATCGGTGCTCTGATACCATATAAAATATTTGGATCCAATATATTTGAATGAATGTTCTGCTACAATTGCAGCAGAACTTATATACAAGATTATTACAGACGCATGCAATAACAAAGGACAGAAAGTGGCATCCATGTTGTCCTTGTTGAAGCAGTCAGCAACCACATGCAGTGGCCTTGCTGTCCACGTTAATAGTGCATCCACACATGCTAACCTAGCTGTGAAGGAATGATCATATTCCTTCTGTCCATATTCCTTCTGTCCAGCGTGTGAGTAGAGCACCTTTAACAGTTTGAGAGGACGCTTGCCCAATCTGTACAAGAATTGATGTTAAATTGTGAAGCAATATAGAGTTGAATCTCAAGCGTAGCAGGCTGGCAGCTACTGTTATTTGGGACTTGACGTTGAGTATTGAACTGAACAATGAACGAGGGAAAGGCTAAAAAAAGCAGAATACAACAGAGAAAATGCCTAAAATAGCAGTAAAAAGTTCTACACTACAAGACCAAGCCACAAAATGTAAGGAAAATAATCAAACAAAACAACATATCAACTTGGAGTACAACGCTAATTGGGCATGAATAAATTATCATGTAACAGGTCAAGCAAATTAAACTAAATAATTTATCTGGTTACATATACCTCATAACATTTTAGTTGGTTCAAGATTATGGAGTCTAAAATTAAGACAGATTATGAAGATAGAAAAAGTTTCCCAAACTCAACAGTGATGTTTTACACAACATATGGAACTTCCACTTTTATAATAGAATTATGAAACAAGTAACAACTTGATCACGTTTCCAATGAACATAGACATATTATCTTCTGAATCAAACAAAACAATAGACCAACATGACATGCGATGAAAAACAAACTGTAACAATTTTCTAAAGACACTTCAAATGAACTATGAATCTCTTTGATTGGATCAGAAGTTCCAAATCGGAACCTATTCTAAAATTTGGACTGAAGACCGTAGATTGCGTTCGTATCCACTTGGAAAGCCTTTGCAAGAATATCAGCAGGGATATCAGGGTTTGATCCAAATACAGCATTTGCAATGGCAATGACACCTGGATTTTGGCTGCTGAGAGCTACAATGGCAACTGCATTTCCGTGTCCAACATTTTGTTGGAAATGCACAAGGCCTACTGGGAAAACAAACACATCACCCTTCTGAAGCACCTTGCTGATGAGGCGGTTTTCAGGATTGGAGGTGACAAAACCAACTTTGAGGCTCCCTTCCAGTACTGTCAAAATTTCAGTAGCTCTAGGGTGTGTATGTGGAGGGTTAAGACCCCATGGGGCAAAATCAATACGCGCAACGGAGATGCCAAGGGTATTAAGTCCTCCAATTTGGGCTACACTAACAGGAGTCACACGTGAACCAACTGCATTTGATGTGTTGCCTGCTAGGTGAAGCCCACTGAAGAAGAAATCGTTGGCTTCAACAAGCTTAGGGTCCTTGCAAACACGACCATTCACCAGTACTGAAACCATGATGAGAAAAATTAATATCAGCATATATAATTATTAATTGATACGGTGCATGTATTTGGTTTTTTGGAAATACGTACTACGAAAAAAAAAAACAAAAAAAAACGATTCTTGGTACCTGGGCTCGTTGCATCAGCCACGCAGAAGTCCTGAAGAGAACTTGGGTCAGATGCCAAAGCAATGGAAGAAGTTACGGCAAGGAATGCGAAAAATAGAAGCTGAGAGGCCATCTGATAAGGCAGTAAGCAGAGAGAGATTGGCCAACTTGGTTTAAACTTTGTAATCGAGGATGAGTTTGAATTGTGGATTGAAACCCTACCTATGTCTCTGCTTTTATAGAGAGAAGTATCTCTGCATGTGTTGTTTCCTATGAACTGAAAAAGTCCAGTCTTAATTTGTAACCGCGTATTGTACAAATTTTTCATGGGAAGGTGCTGCTTGTGTATATGTCATCACGTATCTATTAACTTTAATTTTCGGGTGCCGGCTTTGGTGCTGGGCCTGCTGGCATTGAGGAATGTTTCCATTCTCTAGAATTTGAAGTGGATTTCTGGGAAAAAAAAAATGTACTACTACTAATTAACACCTATTTCTTTACACATTCTCTAACGAAAATTGGTTATTTTTCAAAATTTCCTATTTAGTATATATACTTATTATAATAGATGTACATAGATATATCCTATAATAAGTATAAGGATTCATTCAGGAATGACAAATTTTCTTTATCCAGTAAAAGTAAATTAAATAATTTAATATATAATTTAATATACTTACCAAGATGTGGAGTGTTGTTGTCTCGCATCGGAGAATTAAAAACCTCGCATGGAGGAATTTGGCCACTCTCCCTTTGGGCACTCCCCCTATTGCCATTTCCCAGTAGGTTAAGGGGGCAAAATCCATGCAGTAAACGTTTCTCTCTCCAAACTTTTAGCTTGAAACATTGAAGAACGATTAATTAATTATCTGAAGTATCAAATATACAGAAGGAAATTGACTAGGGCTTCTCCAGCAGTCACTATTTTTGCATCTCAACAAGATAAGGAGAGTTATTTTCAAATCAAAGTTAATTAGTCTCTCGTATGGTAGTGTATATATATCCATTCCAAGATTGCAGGATCAGTGGAGAAAAATAAGAGCCTATGCCATTTCTGTATTTTTTTTCAAACGAACATTGCACTATTAGTATAATGGATGTTTGTTTGAATTTGCCTTTGAAATGAGGGAAACTTACATGAAATGAATTTACTGTCTCATGGCATCTCGATCTAATAATACAATGTCATGTGTTTAAAAATTTACACATGTCATTGTTTGGTTCGAATGGGACATCATGATAGCGGTGAACCCATTCCATATAAGTCTATCTCCTTTGAAAGGGGTTGGCACTGCCAGGATGTAGAGAATAGTACCACGTCAAAAAGTCAAGAAACCTTGCAAAAACTGGCAAGGAATTAGATTACTCCCTTTGTTGTCAATTTGTTTTGCAGTTGAACCTCAACTTTATTCAATCACTATTAATTATCAAAGAAAATGAACGTAACTTTCATTCCTTTACAATCATTCTTTTCACACTGTGACTTAGTCTTGGGGAGAAAGTGTCCAGAATTTGCATCTGGACAAAGATATACAAGGCAATATAGCTCGATAATCTGACCAAATCAGCCTCTGCCGGAGCAGAAACACACAGAAAAATATGCCTTTGATTATTTAGTTATTATTATAGTTCTGCTTTTCATGGTTTTCTAATTTTTAATTTATTTTACAAGTTAGTATATATTCTTCCAATTGGACCCAGATAATTTAGCCGCATGCTTTGTCTTGGTATGCATAACATAATGCTTGATCGTAAGGGAAATCACAAGGGATAGAAAATTAATTGAAGAACAAATCTTTGAACAAACTTTGGATTTAATGTATGTGTTTGTTCTTAAACTTTAGCTTAAGTGGACGTTTAAGACTTATCCAGCGTCTTTTTTTCTAAATTAAGTTTGTTTTTCTGCCTTCTCTATAAATAACCAACCTCGTACATCAATTGCTTCACATCTCTCTCAATCCTTTCCATTTTTCACTTGCAATAAACTTCACATACAATCCCATTGAAGAAGTTGAAAAATTAAGATGGCAAACCAAATCCTGCTATTGACTACTTTCCTAGCCATGACATGTTCTTTGGTTGTTGCTTTCGAGCCTAGTCCGTTGCAGGATTTCTGTGTTGCTGACGCTACTAGCTCAGGTTCGTCTTGAATCGTTTGGTTAAGTTTTGCTAAGATGATGTTTAGTTTAATTACATTAAGATGTATACCTCTGATTCTACTTAATCCTAAAATGACTTTAATTTTTATGCTGGTTTATTAATTGTAACAGCAACAAGAGTGAATGGGCTACCTTGCTTGGACTCCAAGCTAGCAACAGCTGAGCATTTCTTCTTCAGTGGACTTCACATCCCGGGCAACACCTCAAACCCTGTTGGTGGAAAAGTCACCCCTGTCAATGTGGCTCAAATTCCAGGACTCAACACCCTCGGCATCTCACTCGCTCGCATTGACTACGCACCAATGGGTGTCATCCCACCCCACACTCACCCCCGTGCCACTGAGATTTTAACCGTCTTAGAAGGCAGCCTCGATGTTGGCTTCGTGACCTCAAACCCCGACAACAAGCTCATCTCAAAGGTCCTTAACAAGGGCGATGCGTTTGTGTTCCCTGTCGGACTCATTCACTATCAGAAAAATGTGGGCACTGGAATGGCCGTTTCACTCTCTTCTTTGAGCAGCCAAAACCCTGGAGTCAACACCATTGCTAATGCTGTGTTCGGATCCAATCCCCCAATTTCAGAAGATGTCCTCGCCAAGTCTTTCCAGGTTGACAAATCCGTTATTACTAGTATTCAGGCCAAATTTTAGATGTTTTCCGTGGAAAATAGTATCCAATAATTCACATCATCTCTCCGTTTGTCTTGTCATTTTCGCGTATTGCGAGTTAGGTTTGTTTAAGTGTACTAAAATCTCAATGAAATCGAATGATTTTGTGTGAAATTATTCGGTTGAGTCCCTCTTGTGGAAGATATCATCTTTCTTACAGTAGCAGAACTAGTGAAACAATGAAATTAATGTTTACATCTTGTGAAAATACTCTCCAAGAAGCACAATTTTGTGATTTTTCATTGAAAATTTGGTTCTGCTTGAAATTTCTTCCGATTACCTTGCCACGCCAACGCAACATTGAACCGGCAACCCGAGTGTTCTTTGGAGTTTAGTGGAAAACCAGCAACAAACCAGCTATGATTTCCTCACACAATAATCCAGCTATAAACCTAGCGTTTCATCTTTTTTTAGGCAATAAATATGTTAAAACAAAACACATTTTGGTTATGTAGAACTCTGGCAGCATTTCATTTTACTTCCTGATGAAGGCAAGAACTTTTGTGCACTGCATTTTGATTCATTGTTCAACGACTCGAACGTAACTGCATTAGTTGGCTTCAACTCTATTTCATAACTTGTTTACCAATGGAATTGTTTCGTGGAATGCAACGGTCTTTAAATCGGAGCAGTTTAAGGAAATTAGCTGTGGTTATGACAGACATGATGAGAGCAGATTATGTAATAACTCGGTTGCTTCATCGTGTGCTCGGAAGTTAAACGTACAAGATCAACCATCTTCTCAATAGTATCAACAACAACAACAACAAAGCCTTTTCCCACTAAGTGGGGTCGGCTATATGAATCCTAGAACGCCATTGCGCTCGGTTTTGTGTCATGTCCTCCGTTAGATCCAAGTACTCTAAGTATTTTCTTAGGGTCTCTTCCAAAGTTTTCCTAGGTCTTCCTCTACCCCTTCGGCCCTAAACCTCTGTCCCATGGTCACATCTTCGAACCGGAGCGTCAGTAGGCCTTCTTTGCACATGTCCAAACCACCGTAACCGATTTTCTCTCCTCTTTCCTTCAATTTCGGCTACTCCTACTTTACCTCGGATATCCTCATTCCTAATCTTATCCTTTCTCGTGTGCCCACACATCCAACGAAGCATCCTCATCTCCACTACACCTACGTGTTGATGCTTAACCGCCCAACATTCTATGCCATACAGCATTGCCGGCCTTATTGCCGTCCTATAAAATTTTTCCTTGAGCTTCAGTGGCCTACGACGGTCACACAACACGCCGGATGCACTCTTCCACTTCATCCATCCAGCTTGTATTCTATGGGTGAGATGTCCATCAAATTCTCCGTTCTTTTGCAAGATAGATCATAGGTAGCGAAAACGGTCGCTCTTTGGTATTTCCTGATCTTCGATCCTCACCCCTAACTCATTTTGACCTCCATTTGTACTGAACTTGCACTCCATATATTCTGTCTTTGATCGGCTTAGGCGAAGACCTTTAGATTCCAACACTTCTCTCTAAAGGTTAAGCTTCGCGTTTACCCCTTCCTGCGTTTCATCTATCAACACTATATCGTTTGCGAAAAGCATACACCAAAGAATATCATCTTAAATATTAAGTTTGTGATCTTCGCTAGATTGCTTCGGTCATTAGTGTGGATAAGTATGTAAATGGATAGAGACAAGAAGCAAACACAAGATGTACGTGGTTTATCCAGATTGGCTACGTCCACGGAGTAAAGGAGTTCTCATTAATTGTGAAGGGTTTACACAGTATATAGGTTCAAGCTCTCCTTTAGTGAGTACAAGTGAATGATTTAATACAAATGACATTAGGAAATATTGTGGAAGAATGATCTCGTAATCACGAAACTTTTAAGTACCGAAGTTTGGTATCGTCTTCACTTGCCTTATCTGTCTCATAGGTAGATGTGGCATCTTCTTTGGAAGTACTCTTCCTCCCTCCAGGGGTGGTATCTTTAACTGGTGGAGATGCACAAGGTAATGTATCAATTTCACTTGACGCTTACTTGTAGTTTCAGGCTTGGTCAAGCGCGATACAAACCATGTAGTAGGAGTCCCCCAAGTCGCCGAGCTAGGGGATCTGCTGAAATAGGTGACAGACAAGGTAAGCAATCAGAGCTCCAAGCAATCAGTCCCAGATCAGAAGTTTGATTTCGAGTTCCAGCTGATTGTTATCCTTCTCCTTATCTTGCAGGTAGCATGAATGATAAAGAGAAGAAAAGGAGAAAAGGTGATATGAGATCTTTTGCTTTTAAAGAAGTAACTTTCCACAGGCTTATTCTTGAACTGGGCTAGAAGGTTTTCTTGTTTCCGCCAGAGTAAGGCCGACTGAAGAATTTGAGGGTCAAAACAAGTCCATCAAATCTAGAGTACGTTCGACTCTGCTGATATGGGATACTTTTGCTGTTGACAAAGTAGTGGATGTATCGGCACGTGTTCTGTTGCGCTTGTCTCCACATGCTTCCTTGTATCCTTCTCACTTGCCCTATTTGTTCCTCAGGCAGATGTGGTATCTTCTCGGGAAGCATAAAATGTTGAAGATGAGTACTCGAGAGCAATGGGGTTCCAGGCAGTCAGTTTCGGACTGGAAGCTTGATTCCAAGTACTGACTGATTGCTCTCTTTCTCCTTGTCTTGCAAGTAAGAACAAGGCCAAAGGAAAAGACAGGGAAAAAGCATGATATGGGATACTCTTGCTTTTAACCCTGATGATATGAGATATTCTTGCTCTGGTGTAGCTTGTTTGCAGAGGTATTCTCGGGGGGAAAGAAAGCTGAGTATTTCGAGAGGCTTCGTTGGGAGTGCCCTCTCAGATATGAGGAAGGGTTGAGCATTTTTGCAGGTCTGCCTATCCGTTGAGGATGGAGGTCGACATATATAGGAGTCTCCCTAACAAGAAGGAGTAATACTATTCTTTTACCCTACTTGGTCATAGCACGGTAGTGGGAGCTGCCAGCTTCACGTGTTTTAACTCTGTCAGAGCACTTTGAAAAAGTGGTCTGTGGTATCTGGAAAGCTGATGTTACGTGTGAAGATTACAGACAAGCTTTATCCAAGGAGATTTGGCTCTCGAAGTTGAGAAAGCGGTGTGAGGATTACAGCCAAGCTTTATCTAAGGGGCTCTCGAAGTTGAGAAAGCGGTGCCTCTTCGGTTTTCGAACAAGCAATCCTGTCGGGGATCTGTCTCTCGAGATTCGGAGAACGGTGCCTCTTCAATTTTTGAGAAAGCAATCCTGCTAGGAGTCTGGCTCTCGAGATTCGGAGAGCGGTGTCTCGTCGCTTTTTGAGAAAGTAATCATGTTGGGAGTCTGGCTCTCGAGATTAGGAGGACGGTGCCTCTTCGATCTTGAAGCAAGCAATCTTGTTGGGAGTGTTTTCTCGAATGTGAGTAAAGGTTAGGCCTGTTTGCTAGTCTACCTTGCCACGGAGCACAGAGGTTGACACACAGGGACTTTCCAATTATCCAGCAGTGGTCATGTTCCTTTACCCTTGTGGGTAATAATATGGTAGCTAGACCTTCAAAATTTATGTGTCTAAACTTTGTTAGTGCTGTTTCTTTGCTATTCTTTTACCCTTCTTGGTCATAGCGATGTAATGGGAGCTGCAAGCTTCACGTGTTTAAACTTTGTCAGAGATTTTTGGCAAAGTTATCTGTGGTACCCGTGAGCTGATATTGTGTGTGGAAAGTGAATGATGGAACAGTAACATTCACGTGCTTTCTACTTCACCAGAAATCTTCGACAGAATGCCCGTAATTTCCGCAAAGTTGAGTGTGCATGTGACAGGTGCTGACAAGGCTAAAAAAGCAGGTGCCTCTTCGATTTCTGAGATCGGCCCTCGTGGTCTCTGAGCAGCCCAGCTTTTGAGAAAGCAAGCGCCTCTTCGATTTCTGCGATCGACCCTTCGTGGTCTTCTGAGCAGCCCAGCTTTTGAGAAAGCAAACGCCTTCTTCGATTCTGAGATCGGCCCTCGTGGTCTCTGAGCAGCCCAGCTTTGAGAAAGCAAACGCCTTTTTCTGCAGGCGCCTTTTCGATTTCTGAAGCTCCATCGAGTGCAGATTTTTATAGAGGCTGGTATTAAGTTCCAAAGCACACTTGAATCTCCACCAGTAGAAGCTCCCTTCTTGCATTTCTAAGATCTTGATTTGTCCGACCTCTTTTCTCTTCAACACATTTGAAAATGTCTGGCCCCTTCGATCGTCGTTTTGACTTGAACCTTGTTGAAGAGGCAGCCACGCCTTCTCCAGACAACATATGGCGCCCATCCTTCTTATCCCCTACTGGTCATTTTACCGTTGGGGATTCTGTGATGAAGAATGATATGACCGCTGCGGTGGTGGCCAGGAACCTTCTTACTCCCAAAGATAACAGACTACTTTCCAAACGGTCTGATGAGTTGGCTGTTAAGGATTCTCTGGCTCTCAATGTTCAGTGTGCAGGTTCTGTGTCTAATATGGCCCAACGCCTATTTGCTCGAACCCGCCAAGTTGAATCATTGGCGGCTGAAGTGATGGGTCTCAAACAGGAGATTAGAGGGCTCAAGCATGAGAATAAACAGTTGCACCGGCTCGCACATGACTATGCTACAAACATGAAGAGGAAGCTTGACCAGATGAAGGAATCTGATGGTCAGATTTTACATGATCATCAGAGGTTTGTGGGTTTGTTCCAAAGGCATTTATTGCCTTCATCTTCTGGGGCTGTACCGCGTAATGAAGCTCCAAATGATCAACCTCCGATGCCTCCTCCTTCTAGGGTGCTGTCCAGTACTGAGGCTCCGAATGATCCCCCTCCGGTGCCTTCTCTTTCTGGGGCTCTGCCGACTACTGAGACTTCTCCTAAGCAACCTTTGTGAAGGCTCCCTCTTGTGTGTTTATTTTGACTCGTGTATATGTACATATTTGTAACTTCTTAGAGATATCAATAAATAAGCTTTGTTTCATTTCAACGTATTGTGTTAAATACACCAAATCCTTCTTCACTAAGTTCTTTGAATT